ATATTACACGGACAGGGCAATTTTATTTACACGCAAAGCATTCTGGGTAAATGATGACGTGGATAGGTCCTCGGTGTGAGCGAGCTATATCCACCCTGAAGGTTAATCTTGGACAATATCTGATGGTCGACTCTTTGCTTCATGGAAGAAGAACCTCAGATTAGCCTGTTAGCTTTAGCATTAGCCTCGACGCTATCACCATATATATGTATTAGCTCAGCGCTACACATTCTCCTCTCGTCACTGAGGTCCTCCATCCACATGACAGAGAGGGGAACACAAAAATAACTCAGTCTGCAACTGGTTTAAAAGAGTCGATCATCAGATATTGTCCAAGATTAACCTTCAGGGTGGATATAGCTCGCTAGCAGCCTTGCACCAAGGACCTATCCATGTCATAATTTACCCAGAATGCTTTGTGTGTAAGTAAAATGGCTTCGTCTGTGTTAAAATGTTTTTTAATATTTACAAAACTAAAAAGCCTACAGTATTTTACAGTCTTTATTTTACAATTAAAATATATGTTTATCAAATAAAGTCTAATGTTACAACTAATCATGGATCCTCACAGCACAGGTGTCAAATTCTGGTCGTCCAGGGCCAATATCCTGAATGTTTTAGAGGTTTCTCACCTGATTTGCATGAATGGATGAAAGCCAGGATTCTACTAAATTTAAAGATGTAATTTAATCACTGAATCAGATATGTTGAAGCAAAGAAACAGGAAAAATATGTAGGACCCAAGTTTGACACCACTGTTTTAAGGTCTTTTCAGGATGTGATTCAGAAATAAAGCTATAGATAAGAACTAATGTTTCTTTTCCAGATAAAATGATGAAGAAACACAATATTATTCACAGGAAATTAATTTGGCTATAAATACTACAGCATGAAGTCCTGAAAATAATATATTTTTTAATAACCTGACTTTTATAATTCTTTAAAGTGATTTTACATAATACATCTTCAAACTTTCTGAAGATGTTGAGATTCATTTATTTATTTATTTATTTTAAATTTGTACATAACAGCTACTAAAACACCACCTGTGAACAACTCATTTAACCACATTGGACTGAATTTTACAACATAAAGTGTTGTCATCTTTTTATTTATTTATTTTTATTCCCGACCAAGACATGAAAGCCTTGCAAAAATTTAAACCAACTCTTCTTTTATTTTTTAAGTATTTGCTTCATTTAGTCTATTCCACTTCACTTTGTATTTGTTGTTTTTTATTACCACACATACGTACTGATGAAAAAAAATCTTGTTTTACAGACCATCATAGAGATTGCTCTGGTCTTTCTTTAAAAATGACAACAAAAAGGTACGTTTTGACTTAATGGAACTAATATTTTTAGCTGAATAACAGCCTAATATCAGAGATTTTATATTCACATAATCCGATACTTGTTTTTTTGGCTGATATCAGACCGATATCAATATCGGCTAGGGACATTGATAAAAGAAAACATCTACACCTCTGAGTGTAGCCAGTGCAACAGGAATCATTATTAAAGAGAGCGACAGTAATAATGAGATTAACTACACCCACTGAGAACTGATACTATTTGTACATTAAAATACTCTGATTGTCACAGCATAAAAAGAACAAACAGCTGAACTTACAGTTATTATAGGGAAGAGAAAAAAGCATCTTGATTGAATATTGTAAACAAAGTAAACATTATCAAAGTAGAGACAATAAAACTACTGATAAAATGTAGAAAAATGTGAAACATTCAAAAGTATTTAAACTTCCCAGAGTGATTTTTTTCAAACATTCTATTTTAAATCTTTGTTTTTTTTTAAAGGCAGCCATTCATTGCTGGCATATACCTGCTAATGTCTGTGGACACAATTATACCTCCTGGAAAAAAAGGTATGACCCTCGAAAATGTTTTAAAGATACATTTATTCAGTTTAAACAACAGTTCTTTTTGATATTGTTTAGCTTCGCAAGGGGATATACCCAAGAACCTATCAGGAATGTGTATTTTATAAAGATTTACTATAAAATTAAATTAACATTTCATAGCAGTATTTTCTCCCATTTTCCCAGACTGTTTTTAATGTCATCACTTGGGTATCATTATCAATCTGATATATTTTGTTTGTTGAAAGAAGGGCATAAGTGCCATGAAGTTAGAGAGTTTTCAGGTGTCACGAGCCTGAAGCTGGAAATGGAAGAGGCTATGTTGAATGTTGTCCACATGTATATCAGTTTGAATTGAAGTAGAAGTTCTGTAGTAAATTGGATGAAAAATTAGTGAGTGTTCCCAAACAGGAAAGAGTTACAAATTCACAAGTAAGTGAAAGGACCAGAGGTAATCGACGGTGTTCAGGAGAACTAAAAATGTAGAAGGATGGATGGTAGTAAATTTAGTCAAAAGCATGATTGTGGTGAAGGTAGGGGGAGCAGGGAGATGGGGCAAATGCAAAGAAAAAGGCTTTTAGTGAATTGGATGCAAGGCTGGACAGTACAGAAAAAAAAGGACTTGTTGACTGACTAGGCAAATGAATTTGAATTGGAAAGGATGTGTAGCAGGTTGGAGTAATAGAAATAGAAATGGACAAATACTAAAGGACTTTAAAGAGCTGATGATTAGAGAAAGGGAGATGAAAGAGAACAGAGGATAAAAGAGGAAATGTAGTGAAGTAATGGCAGCTATGAAGAGGATGAGGAGTGAAAAGGCATGGTCCTGATAGCATATCTACGGTTCTTTCTTGATAACAGGAAGGGACGATTTTTACCACTGTTTGACACACTATAAAGAAAAAAAAATTATATTTATCTATATTTATATATATATATTTTTTAATCTATATTTAGATGTAGCTAGCATCTAGAACCTGATGGTATTGAATAGAAAACAATGTGAAATGTGGCCATTTTTGGTAGCACTTCTTTCCAATCAATGTTCATGATATTTTCTACCCTTTTATATTTTTTACGATTGTTTTGTTCTTAAAGTGAAACAGTAAAATAGGAAGACACATTGCCACAAAGCCCACAGCTCAAACTATAATAGGAAAGAATAGTAAGAGCAGGAAAGGGTCTGTAAAGGTTACGGCAACCTTAACATTCTTGTTTACCTTTCAGTTACAAATTCAGATATTGCCTGTGACTATACTTCATATCCCATCTACCCATTTGCCTTCAGAACCCACACACATCGTCTTGGTAAGTCACCCTAGATATTATTTCTGAGTTCACTCTATAAATGAGTGGAAGAATGATGTATTCTTTTTTCACAGGTAAAGTGGTCAGTGGTTACAGGATTCGTAACGGGAAGTGGAGCCTGATCGGAAGGCAGTCTCCTCAGTTACCACAGGTAAGTAGTGTAACCCCATTAGTGTCCGTATCATGCATCACAGAGTTTCTATTGAAAAGATTCAGTTATTCGGTAACTTGAAGAACCACCTTTAGCAATATCTGGCTGGAGGTTACTAAATATCTTAGGGTTCTGAGAGGTTTGTGCAACACACATTCAACACAAAACACCAGCTGGGTTATGCAACCTATGTGTGGATGACTCACCAAACATAAAGGAGTGCATTGGTTAATATTTTGGTGAATTTTACAGAAATGTCTGTCTGACTATCTGTGCACAAGATTGCTCAAAACTTAAGAATGGATTTTCATGAAAGAACAAATAATTAAATTTTGGTGGTGATCTGGCACACACAGCGACTTCAAGTAAAAGCAGAGAACAGAGGAGGTGCTAGAGGCTAACTTAAGAACAAGAACTACAAAATATTATTTATACCAAAGAAAATCTCAAAGGGACAGCTGTCAAAACTTTCAGAGATGGATGTAGCTCTTGGGGACATTGATCAGTTCATAGTCTGAAGAAGAGAAAAGCTTGAAAAATAGTCTTAGGGAGGGGATTGATCCATTACAGAGGAGAAAGGAGGACTAACAAGGACTGCAAAGAATCAGTCATCCCAAAGAAAAAACCAGAATCTGTAAAACAAGGCATAAAATGTTTCAACTTACAAAAACAGAAACGTGAACGTACATTGGTTCAAAAATTTCAACCTGAGAACCAGGAGGAACAAGAAGTGTGGATTATTGGTTAGCATTGCTGCACCACAACAATGAAGTCCTGGGGTCCTTTTTCACCATGGGTAATTTTCCCATTGTTTTTCCTTTCAGAAAAACATAAAACAAATAAATAAAATACAGAAAAAAAATCCAGGCCTGTAATGAAAAAGGAATGGGTGATATGGGTGATCTCAGTGAAATGTGACTGATTAAATAAATTTTAAACAGAAACACTCGGAGAATTCACAATTTTAATTCAATTTTAATTTAAGAGGGGGTGGGGATTTTCCATAGTTCAGTTCAGTTCATTTCATTTTATTGATAAAGCCTTAAGTCACAACAAATGTTGTCTCAGAGCACTGAACAAAAAACAAATAAATAAAAATTTTGTCAGTCTCCCATCCCGAGCAGCCCACTGGCAACAGTGAAAAGGAAAAACTCCCTTTTAACCAGTGCTTTAAGTGGGCCGGTACACCTCAGCGCACACTGGAAAAAAGTGCCTCTTTTTATGCTTTTTTATGCTGAACTCTTTGCAGGTGGTGTAGAATTTATGCGAGTGGTTCTATGTCTCAATACATCAGGTCGTTCTGTAAAATCACTCTGAAAACAATACAGCAATGTACTGATATTAGACATTTTAATTTGTACTTTTGAATACTTGAGTACTTTTCAATGCATGTACTTTTTATTACTTAAGTATTTTCAAAAGTAAGTACTTCAGTACTTTAACTTGAGTAGATTTTTGACCGAGCAACTTTTATTTGTAGTTGAGTAGATTTGACCACGAGTATCAATACTTTTACTCAAGTATACTACAGTAGAATTGAGTACCTTGTCCACCACAGGCTATAACAATATTCATAGAAGGGTATACACCCTTGTACAGAGTCATGAAGGGCTTTACCAAACCAAAAACATGCAGCTTTTCCAAATACTACAGAACAAAATGTGCTATTTTTTAATAGTAACTAGAGTTCATTGAATCAAAAACGAATTATCTGTTCACCTAAAATGTTACACTGAACAAAAACATAAACACAACATTTTTGTGTTTGCTCCCATTTTTTGTGAGCTGAAGTAAAGATCTAAGACTTTTTTCATTGTACGCAGGTGTCCTTTTTCTTCTGTCCACCTCATAGGTGTTACATATCAAGATGCTGATTAGTCAGTATGATTATTGAACGTTTGTGCCTTAGGCTGACCACAATAAAGGGCGTACTACTTAAAAAGCTGGTAATTTAAAGCTGACTGAACTTGTGATGTAAATATTTCAGGCAGCCTAGCTTTAAAAAACGTATTTATTGTCTGTAATGGGACAGTTTTTTTAAAGTGTTGCTCCCTTAACTAATGAATTATGCAAAATTGTATGAAATTGTTATACAAAATTTAAGAAAAGATAACCAAGCTGCAAAGCTTACATCATTGATAAAGTAGGAAAAATCGCATCCTTTTATTAATAAAAGATCCATCCATCCATTTTCTGCCGCTTATCCGGGTTTGGGTCACAGGGGCAGCAGCCTAAGCAGAGAGACCCAGACTTCCCTCGCCCCAGCCACTTGGGCCAGCTCCTCTGGGGGAATCCCAAGGTGCTCCCAGGCCAGCCGAGAAACATAGTCCCTCCAGCGTGTCCTGGGCCTTCCCCTGGGCCTCCTCTCAGTGGGACATGCCTGGAACACCTCACCAGGGAGGCGTCCAGGAGGCACCTAACCAGTTGCCTGAGCCACCTCAACTGGCTCCTTTCGACGTGGAGGAGCAGTGGCTCTACTCTGAGTCCCTCCCGGATGACCGAGCTTCTCACCCTATCTCTTAGGGAGAGCCCAGACATCCTGCGAAGGAAACTCATTTTGGCCGCTTGTATCCGCAGTCTTGTTCTTTCGGTCACTACCCAAAGCTTGTGACCATAGATGAGGGTAGGATCGTAGACCGACCGGTAAACCGAGAGCTTTGCCTTTTAGCTCAGCTCCCGCTTCACCACGACAGACCGTACAGCGCCCGCATCACTGCAGATGCAGTACCAATCTGCCTGCCGATCTCCCGCTCCATTCATCCCTCATTCGTGAACAAGACCTCGAGATACTTAAACTCCTCCACTTGGGGCAGGACCTCCTCCCTGACACGGAGGCGCCACACTACCAGTTTCCTGCTCAAGACCATGGTCTCGAATTTGGAGGCACTGATCCTCATCCCGGCCACTTCACACTCGGCTGTGAACCGCTCCAGTGAGAGCTGGAGATCACGATCTGATGAAGACAGTAGGACCACATCATCCGCAAAAACCAGAGATGTGATCCTAAGGTCACCAAAAAGGATCCCCTCAACACCTTGGCTGTGCCTAGAAATTCTGTCCGTAAAAGTTATGAACAGAATTGTGACAAAGGGCAACCTTGGCAGAGTTCAGCTCTCACCGGAAATGAGTCCGACTTACTACCGGCAATGCAAAGCTCTGGCACCAGTTATACAGGGATCTAACAGCCCGTATCAATGGGCCTGGTATCCCATACTCCCGGAGTACCCCACACAGGAGTCCCTGAGGGACACGGTCGAACGCCTTCTCCAAGTCCACAAAACACATGTAGACCAGTTGGGTGAACTCCCATGCACCCTGCAGGATCCTGCTGAGGGTGTAGAGCTGGCCCGCTGGTCCACGACCAGGACGAAAACCACATTGCTCTTCCTGAACCTGAGATTTGACTATCCGACGGACCCTCCTCTCCAGGACCCCTGAACAGACCATACCAGGGAGGCTCAGAAGTGTGATCCCCCTATGGTTGGAACACACTCTGCGGTCCCCCTTTTTAAATAGGGGGACCACCACCCCGGTGTGCCAATCCAGAGGAGCTGCCCCCGATATCCACGCAATATTGTAGAGTTGCGTCAACCAATGCAACCCCACAACATCCAGAGCCCTAAGGAACTCCGGGTGAATCTCATCCACCCTTGGCACTCTGCCACCTCGGTGACCTCGGCACTAACTACATGTGATATGATTTGGAACCAGAGAAGAGTCTAAACAAACAGGCATACAAATGATCTTTTATGTGTCATTACAGTGAGGTCTATTAGTAAAACAACAGACTGAAGTGAAGCCATCTCACTGCAGTAAAAAATAAAACAGGACAGCTGTAAAGCAGCATCCACCAGAGCGCTGAACCACCAGTGTAACTGTTATCTTTGTTACCTGTTTGAGAAATTCTCACACAGATTGCATCATCACCTTCAAGTTTGTTGTGGTAAATGTAGACACTTATAGCCAATAAAACACTCACTGCTAACTATGGGCTCAGGATGAGACCAGGGCAGCAAGCTAGGATTCCTGACAACAAATATTTCTGCTTTGCAAAAAAAACTTTTCACTTCTTATTAAGAAAAATTGTGTGAAGTCAATTGAAAAATAGGTTTGTAAACAGTATTTTACTTTCAGAAAAAAATATGTCCTTGCAGTTTGTATACAAATGTGTATTATTTTTGCTCAGCAGTGTATGTGTTTTGTCTCTAGGCTTTCTACCCTACTAACAAGGAGGTGAATGTGCAGTACGGCGACACCATGGCTGCCAGATGTGTGTTCACTGGTGAGGGCAGAACCTCCAAAACCTATATTGGGTGAGTGTCCTGATGCATCTCAGTAATCCAGGTAGAAAAATCAAAAAGGAAAAAAAAAAAAGTAGGTCTTCTGGATGGGTTCTTCTTTAATGAAATGTTTCATCTCTCTTCCAAGAGACTTCTTCAGTCTGATGAGTTTCAGGTGAACTCAGCCTTATAAGCACTGCCTCCACATGGTGGACAAACGGGTTGGTCACAAGCAAAAGAGGGCCATCGCCTAACATAGGTCGTTAGTGCCTTGATTAACTATTCATAGAGGGTCATGTGACCCATCACCTGACTATCGTTGGGGCCCTGATTCACAGCTTTTGCTCACGGGACTGAGTCATACTTGCAATAACAGCATTGGAGGAGGACAACTGGACACGAAGGCYTCCACCTTTGTTTAATGGTGAACGGTTTTTCTTCACAAAGATGGCTTCTTTTACTCCTCTCTCAAACCAACGTTCCTCTCTATCAAAGATGAGAACACCTTCATCCCTGAAAGATTGACCGCTGGCGTGTAGATGAGTGTAAACTGCAGAGTCCTGGCCTGTAGATGAGTGTAAACTGCAGTCCTAGCCTGTAGATGAGTGTAAACTGCTGTCCTGGCCTGTAGATGAGTGTAAACTGCAGAGTCCTGGCCTGTAGATGAGTGTAAACTGCATTGTCTTGGCCTGATGGTGTAGCTCTTCTGTGTTGGCCCATTCTTTTGAACAGTGGTTGCTTTGTTGTATAACTGATCACAGTCCTCCTGACACTTAACAGCATACACAATATTACTCTGTTTATGCCGGGGAACTGGATCTTTGGGATAAAACAGTCTTTGCCGTAATGTGTTTTGGGTTTGAAAGCCGCTGGGATGGTTATTAGATCAAAACTTTTTCTTTTCGATCTAACAACCAATGTGACAAATGCATAGTTGCTTTTTAAAAAAAAAATTATAAATATATTTCAAGAATTTTTGATTCGGATCGATCTGAATGAATTTGTAATCGGAATGAGTGTGGTGGTTTATGCCGACTGATAATCTGAACGGCATGCATGTAAACACTGAACTGATGATCAAGGGAAGCCAGAACACAGAAATGTAAACTATGAAAATATTAAGTTCGTAAAATACTTAAAGAACTAAATATGTACTGGCCACATCACTAGATTATTGTATCTTCCTTCTTTTCTGTTTACCAGAAAAATCCATCCATAAACTCCAACTTATCTAAAACTCAGCAGCTCGTATCATTTCCAGAACCCCTTCCACCACTCATAAAACACCTGTCCTACAGCATCTTCACTGACTCCACATCAAATTTGCATCTATGAAACCTTGCTCCTCACCTTCAAAACCCTCAATAACTTTGCCCCCCCAGTATCTCGTAGAACTTTCCCACATTAACACACCTTCCTACCCTCTCAGGTCCTTCCTCTCCACCCAACTCACCCATCCACCAGCTGGTCTGACCACTATGGGCTCAAGAGCTTTCAGTACTCAGCACCCCACCACTGCAACTCTCTCCCCCTGGACATTAAAAATTCTTCCACCATCTCCATTTTTTAAATCATGAATTAAAGCTCTTCTTTTAAAGCAGGCGTATTCAGTTTAACCTCCATCTATCATCACCTTTATATTATGTAGGATTTGTGATATGTAGAAAGTTTTTTTACTCCCTTCATTTTTTACAGCATTTATATTGTATTTTAACCATACAATGTCCTTGAGTGCGATGAAAGGCACCTACAAATAAGATGTATAAAATAAAAAAAGAAATAACTGATTGAGAAAATACAGATCATTGGGGATAATGGGGGTACAGTGCCTGCAGAAAAATCAGGAGGAAATGAGGATGGAAGAAGTTATTTCTAGCAGCAGAGTGGGTTAGAAATGAAAATTTGATGTTATTTATTGTTTTTTTAATGTCCTACAGCTACAGGCTCTGAAATGTTAAATAACTTTGAAAATGAGTTTTTGAATAAATCTGTAAAACGTGAAAAGATTGCTCTATATGTCCTGCAAAATGACGGAAAATACATGTATGTATCTATGCATTTTTTTAATGGTTGAACAACCGGGGTTTTTTAATAGTGTAAAATTTGTCTACAGATGAGGTTTGGATTAAATTCACAAGTTAAAACTAAATTAAACAATCTGTAATTTCACAGATGTTTCATTTTCAAATTTAGCAAAAACATCACTCTTTTACATTTTTTCATGACAACCTTATTTGGGTCATTTTTTTATTTATAAAATTTTTTGTTTTCTTTATTTTCCCCCACAGTGGTACCTCAAACGATGAAATGTGCAACTTCTATATAATGTATTACATGGACAGTGAACATGCCATTCCCTTCATGAACTGCATGGAGACTGGTTCCAAAGAGCTGTTTAGACACATTCCAGCAGAGGCAAATGTTCCCATCCCTGTCAGTCCAGATCATATGAACTCTATGATGCATGGAGGACATTCCTCTACAGGTATGAAGTCATTAAGTGTTTTATTTTGTATTCCTCCAGTTAAAACTAGTCCTTTATTTCTTTATTTGTAGTTCAACTGTTGTTACTAGTGTACATAACATTTTAAAAGTTTTATTTGGTGTAGTAATAAAACCTTTACCTGTATTTTTTAGGAAGAAAAACAAATAATATGCTGTTGGAGGGCAAACGTGGTGCATTTAATGTATTATATGTTTTCTAATCCAGAAATGCCACCATGTTCTTGGGCAGCAGGTGCTCTAGCACCACCTGAAGTCCATCTTTCTTTATTAAACATAAAACTAACCATTTTTTCTTTTCTTTTCAAGTTAAGGGACAACTCCTAAATTCCAACAAAGAGGAGCAGGTTCTGGATCAGGGTAAGCTCAACAAAAAAGATGAATGAAGTGTGCAAATTGTGTAGAGTAGCTACTTGCTAGAATTAAAAAAAAAGCTGTATTTATAACAATACACAAATTGCGAAAATCCCTTTATTTGGGCCATTTAAACCAACATAAAATGCTTTGCTTGTGTATAAGTGTGCGTACATGATAACAGTCCACATTTTTCAGCTCTAAAGTTATATGTCATCACATAACAAAGATTATCAGGTTGTAAAGTTATTCGAATGTACAAGAAACAAGTACAGCAGATTTATTATGTCATCATTTATTTGTACGCTTGAGGTTTCATGCTTCATTGGGTAAAAAACAAGTTTTATTGAGTAAAATATTAAGAGCTGGAGAAGAAATGCACCAATTTTTATCAAATACCTACAATCACATTTGAACACTTTTTTGAAATATCCTCAATTTAATGATGTGTGTATCTGTGTGTGTTCATGTGCCGTTATGCCTGTTTGTTTGTAGAGTATCATTTGGACCACGTCTCAGCATGGCCAGGGAGTTTTCTTCAGCTGGGTCAGGTGTCAGGACTTGCAGTTGACTCGGACTCTAACCTGGTCATTTTTCACCGAGGTGACCACAGCTGGGAACGGGAGTAGGTTGCTGCTTCTCTTAAAATTTCGCTTTTATATCTCATGTCTAATTAAAAAAAATGTGTCATTTTGGTTTAAGTCCCATGAAACTACAGAAAACAAAGTTATTTGTGTGTGTCTGCTTGTGCTTTCAGTTCTTTTAACATCCAGGCTAGATATCAGCAGAGGTCGTTGGGTCCTATTCAACAATCCACTATATTGGTTGTGGACCCAGCCCAAGGTAGAATCCTGAAAGCTTCAGGCAGAAACATGTAAGAATGTGCTTTAGCCTTTTTGTTGTGAAGAACAGTGTTACTGTGTACAAGTATTCAACATGACACAGATAATACAGTTTTTATAATGATATATTTTCCCATGTTGCAGGTTCTACTTGCCCCATGGCATAACTACAGATGAGGATAATAATTACTGGGTGACTGATGTTGCTCTTCATCAGGTAAAATGCAGTGGACTGAAAGAATAGGCACAGTACATTCTGTTAAGATGCTAAATAGTCCTGATGGGTGAATTATATTGAGGCTTTGGCGCTTGTGTCACTCTTACTGAAGCAAAGTGACTAATAACACTGTGCCGAAGCTTGTGTCAAAACACTTGACCGATGACATTCAAAACTTTCATCATCATCACTGCTTCAATTTGCACTTTATTGGTTTTTAATGCTATAAATCTTTTCATTTGCTTAGAGTATTCGAATTCCGAAGCATGCATTCATGGGCTGTTGTAGCTTGGCGGTCCATCCTGCAGCCTTGTAAACCTGAGGCTGTGTGATTGAGCATCCATTGAATGCTTGAATCTGAAATGTTTTTAGACTATGTGTCTGAGCACGGAACTGAAGCTGAAAAAAAAAGCAAGTAAAATAAACACAAGAATTACATAAGAAACAATCGCAAGGTTAAAACACAAGCCAACAAAAAAACTCAGATCCTCAGGGGATCCCACCTTTTAAAGGACCAAAATTAATCATTAAATCATAAATTTCACTTTTTTTAAGAATTCTGGACAAATCCTTTGCAGTCAGTCTCAGAAAGATGAAAATTGTGTCAGTAGCTATGTTTACATGGACATAAGTAATCGGGTTAAAAGGTCGTTCGGAATAAAAATGCGTCATGTAAACAGCCCGTTCTGATTATTCTGATCCGATTGAGCTCGATCCGAATGAATTTTTAATCCGAATGAGTCGGGTGGGTTATGCCGATTGATAATCGGAAAGACGTGCATGTAAACACTTAATCCGATCATCTTATTCTGATTGTGGAAAACTGACCTGTGTGCATGTCTGCTGACTTTCATTCACCCGGTTCTGCTCTTTAGAGGAGGTTGGACAGCAGCGCTCCAGCTGTGTTGCACCGCACAGAACATTTCCTCCTCGCTCTCTTAACAGATGAAAAAGGAGGCAAACAGCAGACATTGCTTCGCAAAAAATAAAAATAAAAAACACTTATTGCTTCATCTGCAGCTCAACCAAGGAGTAATGACGTCTCAACCGTTATTAAAAGCTGACATGGGTCCGTCCTGAGCGCACAGAGGAGCGTTGTTTACATTTGTAACACAGAAGTAGAGCTGAAAGTTTACAACACTGCGCATGTCCGGACTTTTATTCTGAATAAAAGTCCGATGCATGTAAACACTTTTCATGATCGGATTGTGTCCATGTAAACAGTATATTTGGATTATTTAATCCAAATACATTTCAATCCGATCAAAAAACTTTGTGCATGTAAACATAGCTAGTTTCCCAATATTTATGGACCTGAACATGAGCAAATTGTTTGCTGCAAGTTGTAATGAAAATCTGAAAATCCAAGTATGGAGCTGCAGTCACAGTTACAGCAAGAAGCATAAGACAACTGGGACAGTGAATTAAATATGGAGCCACAGTGCAATCCCAATTACATTTAATAACTTCAGACTGTAAAATGACAAGAACTTATTGGAACAATCATTAGAAAAAAAAGTGTTTGGTTAATACACTCAAAATGTTTTGTATACTTAGGTCTATACTTACCGTGTTTATGGAAGTATAATATGTAAAATTAAATCCATAAAATCATCCATAAAGTTGGGTGTTACGACCCCTTCCTTTAAACAAGGGGCAGCAACACGACAACCACAATAAATAGACAAGAGTCACTGCAAAGGTGTATAAAAAGTTTTATTTTTTTACTCTGCTCCAAAAGGCTGTGCAACTGTGGGGGAGAAAGGGACCATTAGGTGTGGTGCCAAACAAAAGAAACAAGCAAAACAAAACAGGGCCTGTCTACAATCTGGTCTAA